TTTTGCCCCATTGTGATCCGTAACGCCCTGGAGTCATTAGCCTTCAAGCCTTTGTGGGGCAGACGCTTCAAATAGTTGTTTACAAACGACCGATTTCCCGCTGTATAGCACCAGCTTTCCTAGCTCTATATATTCCTTCAGGTAGCTTAGACTCTGTCCAATAATTGGGATCCGGATCATTTGGATGCGGGAAGACGAGCTCCGCGTTTGTGGATTGTAAGAAGTACATATCATCATCCTGCAACTCTGAAATATTGGCCAAGACGGCATTAGTTACATTTATTACAGCAATATTAGTTGTGGCTGTAACCAGTATTGTTTTATCTGCCTCTTGGTTCTGCAAAAGCCTCTTCATGAATGCCCCAATAACGCGGGTTTTACCCGTCCCTGCTGGGGCTTGTTGAGACAAGACCGGTATGCTTCTCAACAGAGCTTCCACTACCTCCACCTGCTCCTTGGTTAAAACAGCAGCAGTTTGTGCTGAAACCTGGCGATGTTGGTAGACCGAGGAATACTTCGGTTTAATTCCTAGAAGGGTCTCCACGATGTGGACATTGGGAGTTCTTGATCAAAGACGAGACTCGACCGCCCGGTTTTTAAATTGCCTAATACGAAATTCGAAACCCTTATAAGCATCGTTCGGCTGCACCGCCAAATGAATAAATTCTTCTACATTTTCTAGGACTTCCATATCCTGGGGATCGAATCTGAACGTTATCTCCATATTTCCATTCTCGCCCCATTGCGCGGTTTTTATCATCGCTCGCAGTATGCATTCAGTGCCAAGCAGTTCCACCAACATAACTGTCGATTCTTCCCACAACTTTAGTCTATGCGCTAGCAGTTGGAAATCTCTTGCAGCAGGTATCTGCATGACGAAGTCCCTATTACCCGTCCGCCTCGCCATACCCGCAAAAGCCGTAGTGTCCATGATGCGCATTTGCTTCCTTTTGATATATGAACAGACAGCCAGAAGAGTGTTTTCATACCTAGAAATTTCTTGAGCCGGTGATGCTGAACTGTTACGTTCTTGAAAGGGACTGATCTTAAATGATACCCTTGGCTTATCCGTGAGGTGAATTTGCGCTAGCGTACTTGTGCTGTCCGGCTGTGTTACGTACGCTGTGTTTGCTTGCTTATGGTAACGAGCCGGCAAGATAAAATTTGTTCCTATCTGGACACCCGTTGGTAAAATTACCTGACGAGTCCATACTAAATAGCCTGCGCGTGGCGCCCAATTATTGTCCCATACCACTTGGTAAGGTCGTGCCATCGAGTCAGCATCGTGGTACCGACTAATGAATTAATGGCGGTCATTTTTGAGTTCCGAAGGCGTTGCCAACACCGCCGGAATATAATTACTTTCATAGCTATTGTCAGTATCTACATACCCGTTTACAACGATAGCCGGAGCCCTTGGTGATGTGCTCGACATAATAGCACCCACGTCCGTATCATAATAGTTTTTATATTTTTGAAGTGTACCATTGAGTACAACTACTGCGAATCTTTTTACCTTGACGTGGTCACCTACATGCAGCTTAAGGCTCCATCTTCAAAGGAGTATTCTAAGCTGCTGTCACGGTTTAGGGCCAATATTGCTGGTGCACTGCGTAGTAAACGCAGTTGCTATTCCGGGTGTATTACTACATTTTAACACCTGCGCTACTACATACGTTACCGCATGTGAAAATGCATACGGTGCAGTGTGCGCTAGCCGGGA